TCGATCCAACGTCGATACAAATCACCATGAACACCATGATTCTCCAAATGAATTTTAATAATTCCCTCGTCGATTCAAATGTTCATAGAATTTTGAAACGTTACGATGAAATTAAAATTTTGTACTATTTTTTAAAAAGCATTTTTTAAAATGCTTGTCGAAAGAAAAATTTTAGATATTTTAATTCGGTCGAATTCACGAAACGTGAAAGAAAAAAAAAAAAAAAAAAACTAACGAGTAATTTTTCTCTCTCTCTCTCTGTCTTTTCTTCGGTATTTCCCCCGAACGTATATACCTATCCATTACACGGTTGTTTCCCAGTGCTCCCTGTATCGCCCTTTAAAAGCCTTACAATGCGTCATCACCGTCGTTCGCTACTGCTCAGAACCTGGAGTGCCCTACAACCGTACAAAAGGATATAATCGCAACCCTACAATAGAATAGAGTTCGTTTGGATCATAATAATTTCAATTGAGGGAACGAACGACGGAGTGGTTCAAAGGGCGTACACGGAATGTCCTCTCGCGAAAGAGCGAACACTGTTAAACTGAGCATCGCGTTCCGACCGAGCGTATAAACCTCGAACGTATCGAAAGCGTGGCGAGGATTTTCTTTTTCCTTTTTTCCACGGGGCGTAGATGGAGAAATTCCATTTCGAAGAGAAACTAGAAGAAAAAAGAATAAAAGGGATCGATACACGATATTAATTCATGTAATAAAGATTTCGAAACTTAACCTCAATTACTTTCCTACACCCGTACGAATAATTGTTGGTAAATTATCGACAGAGAGGAAGAGAAAGAGAGAGAGAGAGAGAGAAAACAGAGAGCTCGATCGGTATCGAAGAGACGAATCGGTACATGTAGAGTGGAATAATCGAAGTAGTGGGAGGGAAAAGGAAAAGAACGGCGGAAACTATATAATACAACCCTTGTCTATTCCGTCTCGACTCCCATAAAAATACATTTTGCCCGATTATGATAGGGGACAGACGTGCGTGGAGGGAGAGGGGATGATGGTTGGTGAATTGGCGGACCTCAAAGGTCGTTTCGCCGGATGAATCCCCTGAAATGCGTGGCGGAGTGATCGCCTTTCGATCGAACGGTAATTCACTTACAAGTTAATAATGGGAAGGGGCGCGGTACACCCATTTATCTGGCGAACAGGCCAAAGAGGTGGGGAGCATCCATGGAAACAGAAATACCGAAACGTCACAATTTTCTTTTCTTCTTTTTTTTTTTTTTTCCGACGAATTTTTTACGAAACTCCCCAAGAAGAAATTCGATTCTTCTCGAATGAAAATCACAAATTTAATCCCACAGATCGATAAACCAACTCGATCTTACGATCGAATTATTTTAGATTCGTAATTATTCCTCGCGTGTCTTTCATATATATATATATATTTCATTTGGTGAATTTTGTTTCAGGCCGAGATTAGATTTTAGCAATTGTTAAAATGCTCGCAACAATGAAGGGAGAGACCTTCCCCTCGGCCCACTTATTTAAACCGATTATTGATCACCGAGGAAGGAGTAATTTTCGGGCGTGGCGGCGAAAAGGTTCCGATTAGGGAGGGAGAAGGGGGGGTTTGCGTGATTAGTGGCGAACGTGTAATAATCGTGAAGGTCATTCCGTGCAATTGCTCCTATCTAAAAATCAACGTCGATCGGATGGGGCCCCTCTCTCGTGGACGGAATACTTTTCAAACTCGAGTGTATTTCTCGAGTTAATGTATTCAATAGATTCGAGATTCTCGAAATGTACACACTTTTCCCCTCCCTCCTTTCCTCTTTCTTTTTCTCTAATCTCCCCTATCCTTTTCTTCCTTTTCGTGGACCAGTAAGAAAGAGATGTAGTGCTTTTGAACTTCTGAAAAATATCTACCTACTACATACCAGGCTGCCTGAGGTGGGTGTGCGTGTCCAATGCTGATTTGGATAAGCTGCTTCCGTACCCTGAAAGAGGAGAGTCAATTTTTAAATTCTCATTAATCCTCGACACGCTTCGTCTTCCCCTCTCAATCTTAAAATTTTTTTCAAACCCACGAAAGGGGGGATTTCCAGGTGGAAATCAGGTGGACGGCAAAGAAAGAAAGGGGACGAAAGGGAGAAATCGTCGGTTCATCGAAGATGAAAAAGTGAACAAGCTCGGTCGAGCGTTAGAATCCGTTAGAGAGGATTTCCGTGTAGGCAAACACAGGGCTGAGTGGTCCGTATACGTTCCATCCCCGCTTCCATCCGTTGCCTTTCGCCTTATCGCCACCCTTCCAATTCTTTTCCACATTACGTACGTCCAATCCTTCGAGACACCAACAACCAGGAATAATTTTCAAAAAAAAAAAGAAAGAAACAAGAGACTTGCTCATCTTTGCGAAAATTTTACTTCGATGCTCGTTTGCTGCCAGGTATTCGTTCTGGAAGACGCACGGATTACTCGATTATCGAGGTGAGGAAGGCAAACACGACTAATCGTGAACGAGGCTTTGGTACTACGCTTTATATATATATATATATAGATATATATATATATGCTGTGAGCAACGGGGAAACATGGCCACCGGTCACGTTCGCGCCACTGTGCAATCTGTTTAAGGCACAATGCCCCTTAATTTCGCCTCGTTATATGCTCTCGTTACGGGAAATCGCCCCCTCCCTGTCCCCGTCCGGTATCGCGTTATCGGTTTCATCTTCTCGTTGCCCCGAAAACCGTCGAAACGTGGTAATCGGTCGGGAATGGGAATGGCGAATCCCTAGGGTTGATAGTAGTACCTCTTTGAGTATCGTCCACGTTTCTCCATCGTTTATTTTTTTCTTCTTCTTTTTCTTTTTTCTTTTTCTTTTTTTTTTTTTTTGTTCATGGAAAATCCGGAGAAGTCGAAAACTCGACTCGAGTTTTGAAAGAAAAGAAACGGGAGGGGGAGAGAAAAAGAAGAGGGTGAGAAAAATTATCAGAATTTTGGTCTGACTTAAGAGAGAGATGCAATGAATTAGCTTGATTTGCTAATTTAAGTTAGCGTCACGAGTGAAATTTCATTCTTCTTTTCCCGTCTATGAAACGAAACGAAATTTTAAATCGGTGGAAAAAATTATTTTGATTGTAAACTTTTTTAGAAAAAAATAAAGTGGATTAAGACGTTCCGAGCTACCACTACGAGTGGATCGATTTTATTTTCCTTTCCCATTTCGAGAAAGATCATCGGAATACAACTTTTTGTCAAAAAACGAATTGAATTGAATTTCAATCAGAACAAATAAACCCACCGTGAATAAGACGTAACACACGTGCAATGCAATTGGAGACCTCCCAATTTAACCTATCATCGCAAGTGAATTAATTTTATTTTCCTTTCCCATTTCGAGATGAAACGAAATTGAATCGAGTAACTTTATGAAAAAAAGAACAAGATTTCGACGAGAAAACAAATCCAGATAAAAACAAATGCAACGAGTTAAAACGGTGGATCGATTTTGTTTTCCTTTCTTTCTCTCCCCAACATCCTAGGAATCCTGCAGTTTGATCGTGCAGATGCTGTCTCTAAATGGCAGTTGGTGTTAAACAATTTGATTTCAGTCTCTGATTGGGACGCGCGACAATCTTGGACGAGGGATGCAACGCCTCGGGTCCAGCGAGGGTCCGGCCGCGCAATCAGCGTGGGGCTGCGACGATCCTCCCTGACGAAACACGACCCCCACCGTCTTCTTAAGGAATCTCGCCTCCTCCTGAGCAATAATACACGATTCGAGCACGTATCTGGGTTTCAGAATTCCACGCATCTCGAAGGGATGCAAAAATTTGGCGAGGAAACAGAGAGGGAGACGTGCGTTATAAAATGGCGAACACCTGTCCATCTCATTTGCATCCCTGTTCCAGCTGTTTCGCGCGATCATATAAATTACATCCACCGTGTGTAATTTCACAGTGTTTAAACAAGGGCTGGAAATGTAAGAATACGAATTTTTTGTCCGCACGACGGAAGGGGAACGAGTCGATCGAAGGGTCAACAGGTTATTAACTTTCTTCTAATTCAAGAGGTTGTTAGTTTCTAGATCGTTCGAGTTATATGACGAAAATGACGAAAATGAGGTAAGGCTTTTAAACTTTGAGAAACGAAGTAAGAAAGTCGAAAACGTGTGACAAAAATCGTCGATATATTATTACTGCTTTGAATTATCGACGTTGGATCATTAAAGTTTTCCAAATTTTTGATTACATACATTCTCTGACAACAAAAGCGAGTTATTTCAAACTTTACGAATTAAGAAAAGTTGAAAAGTCTGGCAAAAGTCATTGACGGTGCATTAAATATTATTACTGCTTTAAATTATCGTCATTGGATCATCGTTGTTTAAAAAACTTTTCCAAACTTTCGACTGTATTCTCTGGTAAAAAAAAAAGTTAATTTCAAACCTTACGAAACGAAGTAAGAAAGTTGATCATTCGACCATCATTATTCAAGCTTTCCCAAATTTTCAACAATAATTTCTCCAACAAGAAAGATAAATTAAATATTATTACTGCTATAAATTATCGTCATTGGATCATCGTTGTTTCCAAACTTTACAAAACGAAAGTGAAATAAGAAAAAGTTTTCGACTCGATAATTTCTCCAACAAGAATAATGCCTTATTTCGAACGAATAGCGAAAGGAAGTAAAGAAAAGAAAGGTCGAGAGGTGAGTAGCTGAGAAGAGAGAAGCGATGGACGGTTACAACGCGCGTTACGTCACCTCGAATTGACGTGCTCTCCCATTGTCACACGTATATCTGCGCATTCACGAGCAATTACCCGGGGCGGGGTAATCCCGTTAGGCGACAGCATCGACGAGGGAGGATCAAAGGACCCGCTATTCCGAGCTGCTGCACTCTTCGGCCGCTCTCTTCCCTACAATGCCGCCTCCGAGGCGAGCAACGGTGGAGGAGGGATCACCGCCGCCGCCTACACCGCCGTTCGCCAAGGAAACTTGGCGAAACTTTGGGCAACTTCCAAATGCATACCTCCTAGCGTTCAGCTAGCGTCGATACGCGCAGTTTCGCGCAATTATCGTTACCGTTTCTCTTCCCCCACCCCAGCCATTTTTACACGGCAGCCCTTTTATATCTCCGGGATTTCCGCTTCCGTTCGTCCCCCTCCCTCGCGGATAAATCCTCTCTCGACCTCGCCTTTCGAGATCGAGACCAACATCCCTTCCCCTTTCTTCGATTTTTCCAATAAGAGAATGCGAGAGGCTCGTTTCACTCATGAAACTCGGGCAAAAGTGTAATTACAATAAGGATTAAGCTGGTCTCCCGTCGTGTACAAAATTTTTCCACTATGCGCGTAAGTAGCGAGAGTATACGAAGTTCGAAAATGAAAATGATTAAAAAAAAATGGAACGTAATTATAAAATTTTCGGAGAACGCGCGTGGCGATTCTTTCGGCAATTGAAATTCTTTTAGTTCGTTGCAATTTCTGTTTGTGTAAAGTAATGAAAAAGAATCGCTTCCGGAAACTATCATCTCTATCTCGAAGATGAGAGAAAACTTGAAATGTAACTTGAGATATCGATAAGCTAAGGTAAGTTGAAATTGTTAACGACGCTACAAATATCGATCGGAAACATCCGGTTTTCCGAAATGAATTGAAAAACGATGACGAACGGATTTAATATATATATATATATAGTAGGCAGTCCACACGGGCCAAAACGATCGGGTTAATCATATCTGAACGAGGTTAAAACACCGGCACCCGCCGCTCTTATTTACGTCCGACAATAAGTCAATTCATCACTCTGCGATTTGGCCTTAAGTGGTATCACTGACTCATACACACACCCGTCTCGTGCCTATTTCGGGCATAAATCACAGTGGTGCCCGTGTGGTGCGTAATAATGAGCAAGCGAGCGTAGCACGCGACCCTTTAAAGCGTGCTTGCTGGAAAACGAGTGGCTCGTAAGGTAGCAGCCGTGGCGGGGATTAGCACGCCCCTATTTAATCCCGAAAGCGCCACAGCTAGCACAATTCTTTCTTCTTTCGTGTCGAGTCGCGTATAAATAAAAACGTTAAATATATCATAGAGCGTATTAAAATAACGGAAACTTCGAAACGCTGTAACTTCGAAGATAGTAACTTCCGGTCAGCGAGCGAACGATGGTTAGAAGCGGGGAATCTTGCTCTTTGAAACGGTTTTCGTTTTATTCCGATACGACTTCCGGTTGCCGAGATATCGTCGTCTAAACAGACGGATAATTTTTGATCATTTGTTTTCATCAACTGATTAAATCCTATTAAAATTAAGAAAACTTTGAATCGCTGTAACTTCGAAGATAATAACTTCCGGTCAGCGAGTGAACGATAGTTAGAAGCGGGGAATCTTGCTCTTTGAAACGCTTTTTCGTTTATCCCGATACGACTTCCGGTTCTCGAAATATCATCGTCTAAAGAAAAGGGTAATTTTTGATCGCTTATTCGGACTTTTCGCTCGCATCTCGTTCACCTATCAAGCTATCGTAACGAGTGACTGACGCGATTCCTAAAAGAGCCGTGGTACGCGTTTCTCAAGAGAAAACGTTGAGTGGCTCTATTCAAACTCTGCTATTTATTCCGCGTTACTTCAAATGCTTGTATCTCGGCAACCGATCGAGATATCGGGACGAAACAAAAAGGAGCTTCAACGGCGTATTTTCCTCCATCTCTCGAGTATGTTTCAACGACGCGTATTAATCGAATACGATTAAATTCACATTCGATTCCATTTTTTAGCGTGTGCAATCGATCGATCGAATCGAAACGTTCGAAACAGATGCAAAAGTCTCGATTGGAGGGACGAAATGCAAGGATCGCGTTGCGGTAACGATATCAGGAGGACTTTTTGGCCGGTGGACAGGAGGGGGGAGCGTGGATACGGCAGGAAGTACGGGGAACCGAGCGGATCCAGCGGATCCAGTTCTGGCACGGGTCTCTTGTTCACAGGCTCG